GCTATAACCCTCTCTCAACTCTATAACTCCAAAACACGAACCTTGACGAACAAGGCCGCTGCACGGAGAAACAAGTTGAGCGCGGTACTACCAGGGACGTGGTGGGGATCGAACTCGGGGATCGAAATCCTATTCTTTCGTGGAAAATTATTTATAGGGCAGAACCTTTTAAACCTGGAAGAAAGTTATGTAACCTTTGTTTAACAGAAAAATACCATATCATTACATCACCTTTGAAACTATTAAATAAGCGAAATGAATTAATATCGAAATGTCGCCACGAAAACAAATTTGTTATCTGCAACTTTAACGTCATCTAAGCAAACACTGTATTGTATTTTTGTATATAATTATGGTTTGTAACGTCTGTTGATCACATATAGCGTGAAACTCTGAGTTATGTTACAAATTTAATTTTATTATTATTTTAATATAATATATATTTTCTCTTCTTTTGTATTGAGCACTGTCTACCGAAATATTACTTATATTACTGATATATATATATATATATATATATATATATATATATATATATATATATATATATATATATATATATATATATATATATATATATATATATGCGAATCTATGTCTTTTGATGAAAAAAGAACCTTACTTTTTTTTTTTAATTTAAATGAGTTTTAGAGGTTCCTCTTTTGATTCTAAATTTATGACGGATCCTAATATTGTTGAATCTTTTTTTCTTCTAAACTATATCAACCTGGTACTCAAAAGTACCAGGTTGATATAGTACCAGGTAGCAGAATAATACGCTTATTTTGAATATATTTGTTTTAATTCAAAACTAAAGAGAAAAAAATAATGTTGTTTTTTTCATTAAAAAACCCCCGTCTTTTCATTAAAAAACCCCCGTCTTCATCCAAAACGGGGGTTTTATGTTTTAGTTGGAAGTTACTGGAAGAGAGAAGATGAAGATTGTAGAGCAAGATAACGATTGACTGACGACTTAAAAATTGCAAGTTATATAAATCAGGAAAGCAAGATGAAGGAAGCAAATTCCAAAGAACTGAAGCTTGAGGAAAAAAAGTAGAGGAGTAAGAGCTTTTGAAGCACTTACAAGAACAGTCACAGAAAAAGGATGAGACTTAATTGAATGACAAGTAGCACGAAAATGAATTTTAGTAAATGGCACAAGAGATGCTAGCTTTCTAGAGTAGTACCCATTTTAGTATTTGTAGAAAAGAGAAAGAGAACCAACATTACGACGATGTGATAATGGTTGAAGGTTGGCTGCAAGAGCAGGTACCAATATGTTTACAATGCGTTTTTGCACCTTGTCTAAAAGAGAAAGGGCATCATTAGAAGATCCGCCCCAGATATGGCAACAGTATTCCATACAAAGCCAGATTTGAGATTTTTAGAGATAGAGAATAAAATCCAGATTAAGAAAGTGTTGAGCTCAATAAAGAGATGCAACTTTAGCAGATGCTAATTTTGTAAAGGATTTAATATATGGTTTCCAAGAAAGATCAGAAGTAAGAATTAATCCTAGAAGATGAAGGTTAGATGACTCATTGAGTACATTAGCGTTCATAAATATAGGAAGCTCTAAATTATTGGGATAATGGTTGGCTGAAAAAAATAGAGTTTTATTTAAAATAAAGTTCACCAGCCACTCTAAGCCCCATGCTGTAGCAAAAGTGAAATCCTTTTCAAGCTCAAATGCCCCCTGCAAGCAATCAGAGGGAGTTGGCTTCTTATCGTGACAAGAATAAATGGTAGTATCATCAGCGAACAATGCCACCTTAGTTGTGAGAATATCTGGAAGATCGTAAATGTAAGTTTAAAAAAGTATATAGAGCCAAGGATTGAACCTTGAAGAACCCCTGAGGTTACAGAATAAAAGAGAGAGAAGAAGAATGATGTCCATCAAGGACAACTTTTATACTACAATTGAAAAAAAAGGATTCAATAATCTTAAAGATGTTTCCAGATACACCGTAAGAAAAAAATTTATGGAGAAGACAAGCATGCCAAACTTTATCAAACGCTTTAGAAATGTCAAGAGAGATGGTCTTAACCTCTCTACCTTTATCTAATGCACTATAAAACTTATCGGTTATTAATTAATATGAATTAGATACATAAGAATTTTGTTTTCTTTCAATAATTAGAGTGTTTAATACTAAGGTCCAACACACTTCAAATTTCAGTTATGTCATTTTAGTTTAAATTTTCCCCTGTTCTATACCCTTCAGCCAACTTACCCCGATAGTAAGTTACTTAAGCTCACTAGACATAACCTAACAAAATCAATATAAAATGTATTAAAACAAATATAAACTTATAGTAATGTTGGTATTATAGGTTCTTGTCCTTTTTCCATAAAAAAATGACATAAAACTTGAAAAGCTAAAAAGTTACAATGAAAAATCAAAGAAAAAAGTGTGCCAACGTGCCCTGGTGCACCTTATTTTTTAAAAATCTTCTTTGTTGGAATTGTGTGTAAATATAATATTTATTTGCTATATTTTGAACTTAATATTTTGCTGCATTTTTAATATCGGACATTTTTTTTTTAAGATGCATTTATTATTATTATTTAAATTTATTGAACACTCAGTCTAGTAATATTTACATGGTAAAAAAAAATAAGATTTATCTTTCGAGTGGTTTTCACTAATTCTTTCTTCAAGAATTTGTTTAAAAATGTCTCTTTGTTCTTTTGCATTCCAGCACTCTACTGCAAGTTGATGTGCCAAAATACCTTTATTTTTAATTATTTCAAGAATGCTTTCAGTGCCGATGTTATAGAGCTAAGGTGAAAGACTTGAAACTTTTCTTACGCCTTGCTTCAGACAAAAATAACTTGATTTTCAACCTTGATATGAAGCTGTTGCACTTTTATTGTTGGGCAATAAATGAATAATGTTAACTGTCCAGAGTGGAAACTTTTTTTCAAAATATAGTTTTTCAATTAGGATATCCCAGTTACAGCTATCAAAGGTCTTTTCTGCGTCTAAGGAGCGTAAGTACACAGATGTATTATTGCTGACGTAATTTTTAATTTTTTTGCTGATGTTGACATTTATTTTAGTGTCCATCTCTAATTAATAGAGTAATTAAAAAATTTCATTACCCATTATGTTAAGGTATAACACTTTGCATTTTTCAAATGTTTTGCTGATAAAATAGTTGATTGACACCAAAAGTGTCAGGAGATTTTTTGATTTTATTTTAGAAAATAGAAGATGCCATTGTTATATTTTCTTCAGTTATTGTTATGACATCATGTTTTGTACAGAATAGAATCCTTTGATTTTTTAAGTGTTCAGTACATTTTCAAAGTGGTTTGGGATTTCTTAAGTAATGGGTTCTTTGTCTTTTTTATAATTTATGGTAAATAATTTATAACTTGTATCTTTGTTTAAACATTTGAAAGCTTTCCAAATGGCTTTTTGCTCACTTTTTTTTTAGCTTTTTAATTTTAATATACTGCTTACAAATTTTATTATTTTGAGCTAACTTGATAGCTTGGCAAAAGTTTTTTTGAGCTATTTGGTAGCAATTAAATGTTAGAGATTTTAAATCTTTTATGAATCTCTCCATTTTTTAAAATTAATTGAAAGAATAGCTTTACTGCAACTGCCATGTTCATAATTATTTATACTAAATTTAAGATTGATAAAAGTGGTTATTAAGATGATAGATATATATATATATATAACTTTGTAAAGTTAGAATCTTTCCAAGCCTAGCTAGGAATCTTTTTACTTCGACGGTTTTGTATTTGGTGTGCTGACCGCTAACTCCAACTATTATTGACAGTGGTAAGTGGTCACTCAAATTATTTGAGGAAGAAGGATGAACATTTAAGATTGAGAAAACTTGTATATTTTGATACGGCTACATGGTCAATATATGACAAATTTGGTAGTGTCTGTTGTGAATGTATGTAAATAGACCCAGAACCTTTAGTTATATTGACTAGTTCTAATTCATTTCTTTTTGAGAATTCAGGTAAGTGTACAGACTTTTATTTCTTTTTGATCTTTCTAATGAATCATATACCTCATGCAGAAAAGATTGGAAATTGCCTGTTATAATGACATTGTCCTTACCTTTGTTATTAGTTAGTCCTTTAATAGTATCGAATTGACTTTTGTATTTTTTCAGTGAGAAAAGGTTATTCAGCAGCAAAGTGAGATATATTTTAATAATAATAGTATTAGGTTCATTTTTCCTGAAGTTTATTGACAATATATGATCATCCTCGCAGGTTACTAAAATATTATGAAACTGATTTTTTTTTTTTTGGTATAAAGAATGCATTTTCACCAAAAGATTGACTTTTTTCATGTTTATTTGACTGATGGAAAAATACAGAATATGTATTTTTAGTTATATTTCTTACTATGGAATATTTAATCAAATGTTTAATCAACCAATGTTTACAGAAAAACCTGATATCATAAGAATGAATAAATGATTTCGTTAATTCAATGTTTGACTTAAGCTCCTGAGGGTTAAAAGAACATATATCAAAAATTGAAGAAGTTTTTTTTTTTCTATTCTATTCTAAATGTTGAAGGTTTGTTTTTTCTATTATGCTATTTGAATCTATTTTGATTTAACAATTTATCCTGTAACCCAATGGATGACAGATTTTGGTCACTGTTGAAAATGTTTTGTCATAGAAGGGTTAATTATTTACAATTATATTTTTATGCCGCAGATCAGGGTTAAATATTTTTATTTTATCCAAGTTATTTATTGTAATTCGAAATGATTTATTATATTTGTTGACTTTTCTTGTGGCAATGAACTAAGGCATAATATCCATTTCACTTATCATATAATGTTTAAGATCTTCTGACAATTTTTTTAATGTTAATTTTATTGTTTTAAACAAAATAAATTGCTTAGTTTTCTTTGAAAACACCATTTAAAAAATGTTTAAATTGTTTCAAGTAGCTTTAAATAGAATATTTTATTTTTAAAGCTATTCTACAACTTACACTTTTTAATGTCAGGTATCACCACTGTACTAACCATAGTAACTATGAGCAACAACATCAGATCAACAGCCCCTAGTTCAAAAACATTTCGTAGTCTAGATTATTACATGTTGATATGTATGATATTTGTGTTTGGAGCACTTGTAGAGTTTGCAGTTGTTGGAATCACAGATCCAGACTTTTCTCCTCGATGGAAGAACAAAGGAAAAAGAACAAAAAAGAATTACGACATTGTCTCAGTAAGATTTTTTCATTTTTTAAAAATTTTATTTGTGCAAAAACTTGAGGAAATTCAAAGCATTTTAGTGGTTTCACAAGAACTTTAAATATCAGGAAGGTCCTTTATAATTCTGACAATTTTGTTTTTCAAAAACAAAATTGTTCAATAATATTAAAAAGTATAACATTTTGGGTCTCAAAAGAAGTAAAATTTTATAAAATATTTAAAAATAATAATCATTTTATATAGAAATTATTGATTTAAGTTTTATGGCATAAAAACTATTGTTTTCTACAAAGAATAAAAAAGTACATTTTTAAAATAGTTTTTAATTATTATTTGTTCAATTTGTGTTTTTATAAATTGTTTTTTTAATTTTTTTTTAATTATTTTACAATACTTATTGGACCACACTATTAAATGGGTATACTTTATGTATGAAGCACAACTTGGTGACTAACAAAGTTTTAGTTTTTTTTTTTTTTTTTTTTAAATAAACTTGTTCTGTTTGAAGACAGCATTTAAAAAAAAAATTTTTTTATTAAATATGTTAGTAACATTTAAATTTTATTAAAATTTTGCATTTGCAAAAAATTTTAACCACTTTACAATTTTAAAAGTGATTTCAACATTTTTGAATTTTATTAATTCAGGTCTAAAAATGGTTTTAGCTCCTTAAGTAAATTTCAAGCATTCCACTATTTATTAAAGGTAGAAAATGTCCTCTAATTGATATGCAACCAAGAAACTCTTCAAACGGAGTTGAATAGTTAATACTACATATAAGGAAAAGTTTTGTAGATAACTAAATAAATAGAGGTGTTGTTTTGCATGTATTGATATTTTTATGTAGTCAAAACATTGCAACTTTTTTATAATTACTAAAAAAACAATTAGGTTTTTGATTATGCAATTTGGTCAAAAGTTAGGTATTATGTAAAATTCTTTTATGCAATATTAATAACTTTATTCAATTTAAAGAGTTTTTTTTTAAAAAAAAAAAAAATTTAAAAAATTTGGAGGACAGCGTATGTTGTCAACTTTGATGATTTGCTGGATACAGGCAGGCAACCACATTAACAAAGTAAGTTTGTTTTTATATTCTGTAAAATTTAGTTGTTTTATAATTCTTGTAAAAATCCTTATTTTCTCATTAAACAATTTTATTTTTTGTAACTCTTTTTTTCTTCTTTTTTTTGTAAAAATAATTTTTTCTTGTAAAAATTTTTAATTGTAAAAGTCATTAATTTATTGTTGTTTTTGTTTCAGGCTGAAGATAATCATCAAGAAACATGTTGCTGGGTGCTGTCTCTAAGAAATTGATTGCCCAAAATGCATGAAATGTGCTGCATCACTCATAGACAAAGCAAAGTATGATTCACTGATGTGTGTAGACTATCTACTAGTTATTATTTTTATGTTATAATTAATATATATCTAACATTAGCTGGCAAATGCAAGCAGTGAAAGATTACATACATGTTGCCACAAAGCTATTAGGCAATATTCACAGGTTTAACATTGCTAGTCACCTTTTTGAAAAAGAGTGTTTAGTGCTTGGTGCAAACTATGTTCAAATCCTTGTCCATGTTAGTACCAGGTGGAATTCCAGCTGCTACATGTTGGATTTAATTTCAAAATATAAAGATGCATTGGTTTCTCTTTAATAAATTTCACTGAACAACAACCTGCTCTTGGATGTTATTTTAAGCTGCATCCAGTCCTTTACTGATACCAGTTCTAAAAACAATGAAGAATGCTGGATCACATGCTAACTATGCTTTTTAAAACTAACAATTTTTATCTAATTTGATAGGGAAAACTTGAAATAAAAACACTAAGCCAAGCAATTTTGTAGATTTTCCATGCAAGAAAATTATAACAATGAGAAAATATAACAAAAACTTTTTCATTAATAATGGATATTTCCATACAGTCATGTTATTTCTAATATGATGAAATGCAACGCAAATATATAAACTCTGATAAATTAAGCTCCAAATCAAATAATAAAACAAAATAAACCCTAACTTTATTTTGTTTTAGAAAAACTAGTTTTTCAAATAGAAAGTCACCCAATTTATGTCTTATTTTAGTCATCACAATACATTCTGTCATAAATAGCTGCTCTACAGGAGCACTCAATGGAAGAGGTGTGTTAAGTTATAGAAGACTTTCAATACTGATGGGTGTAATAATAACACAGTTAACTCTTTCGATTGTGATTTTAAATATAACTCCAATTCCTCAACACCAGAACTCATTATTAAGTTGCTATCCACTGGTAAAGAAAAAAAGTCTTCTTGTACCGGATATACCCGTTGCTATACGCGAAGATGATTTCACAAACTGTAGAGGGAGGGTTCACACTTTCAAATAAAGATTTTCACCAGGCTCTACTGTTAAACGTTTGATACCATCAAGCTATAATAGTTTAAAATGAGGTAACAAGCATGATGCTAATGCTATTTCTTTTTTTTTCAATATAGTACTAAATCGAGTATGAATAGAATTTCTTACTGTATTGATAAGTGGACCACAAAAGTTCATATTTTTTTGTTGCAAAGTAATTATTTTTTTATCCAAAGCATAAAGTGTAGGTAATAAATACCCCATGAACATTGATTCTTTTTCTTTGTAAAAAGTCTAAAGATTGTGCAAGAGAAGTCATTACTTCACAATATTCTTGAATTAATTGAATTTCTTGATTTGTGTATCTTTTTATTTCACAGAAATCCGTTATATTGTTCATTTTGTTATATCCATTAGGCTCTAAAAGAATATTTTTAATTTGTCATAAACTATCATAAGTATAGTTCCATCTTGTTTTATTTGGTGTTTTTAAATAAACTTCTAGTGTGTTATGAATTTTTTCAGCAACTTTATTTGATGTATTTTGTTTACTCCTTAATGAGTAAAAAACACTTGTCTAATGCTTTCCTATAAATTTTCTTAAAATTGTTTTCTGAAATCTGTACCATTTTCAACATCATTTTTTGCAATTAAGTCTAATGTATGACTAGCACATCTAAAATGTTGTGGTAACTGAACAAATAAGGCACTCTCTTCTTGTTCTTGTTCATGATTACTTTTGCATAAAATTTCATAAAAATTTATATTTTCATTGCAAAAATGATCTTCATCATCTTCATCGCTTTCATCCTCGTTTGCTGAATCTTTTGAAATTGGGTATGATTTAAAAACAAAATTTGAACTACTGTCTGTTGTTGTAGCAACTATTTTGTTTTGAATTTTTTAGGCTGTATGAATCTTATACAAGGCAGCAGCTAAAACAATATATGTATGTCTTCTTTTTAAATGGCTACATGCTAAAGATACTGAATGACACTGAAATGTCCTTTGAACTATCCAATGAAAAGTCACCTCAATATAACTTCTTTAACCTTTACTCCAAGAATCAGCTGTAGTGGCAACATACATAGTGTTTCCAAGTGTTAAGTAATATTTTCAATCATTGATAAATACAGGTTATTAATACATAGTTTTAAAGTTTTACTACAGATACCCTTCAGGTTTCTCAGAAGACCTAATTTTACTAAATTCACAATCGATGGTTCATCAACTATAGATAAAGGTTGTGTTTCACTCAGAAAAAAAATTACTACAAGTTGATCTAAAGATTTAATTTAAAACACTTATTATTATATTTATTGGTTCCATATTTCTCAAGAGTAGTTTGCACTGCTTCTTTTTTTACATTGTTTAACGAACTCAATTTTTTCTTTTTAACAAAAGCATTTTTTTACCTTCAACAAGAGCTTTTTCAAAGGCAACCATTTTAAAAGGGTGAATTCTCTAATGAAATTAAAAAAAAAAAAAAAAATTAAACTATTTCTGAATAAATTTGTTTAATGGGATTTATTATTAAGTTAATCAAATTTGAAACTATAGCGAATTCAAAAAATTCAGAACTTTATTTAACATGGTGTAACTTGTGAATGTACATACTTAACAGTGTGTGCACCTATTTAAGTTACATCATGTTTACAATAGAGTACAATAGTATCATACTATGCATATTAATTATGAATTTAATTTATGCCCAATTCAAAGTAATGTTGCAAACACTGTTGCCCGCACAACGGTACTGTTGCTTTAATTTTTCTCTAAAAGTCACGGTAGTGATTTTTTATGGGTTGATTTTTTTCTTTAGTTTAAAGAATGACTGCCAAAACTAAAATTCTTAATTAATATATGTGCATTCCACTGCGTCTATCCCTATATCAGTCGTTGTATTTAAGTAATAAATAGCAATGTAATTTTTAATAAACAACAACAATAGTTAAAAAATTTAAAAAACTAAATGTAATAGTTTATGAGGTTTTAAACCCCAAACTCCACGATAACAAAATAAAGTGATGCCGCAAGGCTAAATATGCATCTAGTATAATGAAGTAATTTTAAAATCAAATAATATTCGCTGCCGTGACTTTAAGTTTTGGTAATCAGACTTTACGATGAAAATTAAAACTTCAAGATAAAAATTAAAGCAACGGTACTGTTGCACAAGCCAAAACGTAAAATAAATTCAAAAGAATAGGAAAAAATAACACTTATTTACCTTAATATGTCGCTTCAAATTAGATGATGTATTTCTGGCTGCACTTATATCTTTTCCTGAAGGGCCACACAAAACACATTTTACATTTATATTATTTCCATTTGTTCCATTAAATATGGAAAATGATTCCAAGCCTCTCCAAAGCAAACATTTATCTGAGAGATATAAAAAAACTATATAGTGTTAATTATACTAGATATTTTAGTTCCATAGACTTATGCCTTTAGTTAAGTCTCACTAACTTAGCAAATAAATTACAAATCTTAGCAACTAAAAGACTTACGTTAAGGGTGGTAGATATTAAACTTACTTTGTAAATAATTAACTATAGCCAATCCAAAATAAAATAAATAAAAAGTATATTTTGGGCGGGGGTGTACTTGATTCACGTGTGAATAAAACGATGATTTATTTTAGCCGATTTTTAATTAAAATCAACTAAGATATGCCTCCTCTAACCCCGTGAATCAGTATTTTGTTGCCCATATTTTGTACATCCATACCACTAATTTCAGTATTACTATTATATTCGCCACCACTAACATTTTCAATAATTGCAAAATCACCAATAATTTCAATAATTGGATCTATTTTGCAAACTAAAACCGCGTGTAATAAAATTATGTTGAAAATTATATTTTACAAGGAATTTTTCGGATTTAGTTGGCTACATCTACTAAATTTAAAACTATATTGGTAACCAATATAGTTTAAAATTTAGTATATATGGCCAACTTAATATTAACTAATTCCGAACTAACCGGCGATTGGTTTAGTTTAAAAATTAGTAGTTACGGCTGTTGGCTAACTGAAACCAAATTAGGTTTAATTTGATCTAAATACAACGTTTTTTGCTTTTGAACCGTAAAAACAACTTTAGCGAAATCCAAATTTAAAAAGTTTTTAGGTACTAATACTTTTCATTCACGTTCTTCCAAAAAAAGAATTCGTTCTCTTTCCTTGTTCCATTATTTTAAAAGGAACGAGTTCCTTTTGTAACGCGTTCTTCTAAACATTGATATATATATATATATATATATATATATATATATATATATATATATATATATATATATATATATATATATATATATATATATATTCATAAACTCTAACACAATTAATATTAAAGTAACAACCAATGTTCTTGTCCCTGATTCACTCTGTCTCTACAGATTTTCACTTGCATTTATATACTGGATTCTTGCGTACATTTGCGTCGGATAATAGCTTCTACAGAATGTTCCAAACAATTTGATAATGTAATTGCAAATTCAATAAACATGAGTTTGTAATTACATTGTCTTACAACAACATCATCATAAAGAAAGTTCATGTCCATTTCTAAATAACTAAAAATGTATCTATATCAATAGTTATCAAATTTTCAAGTTTTGTTTTAATAGTGATTTTGATTGTGAACTTGGAACTAGTACAGTGGCAATTATGAGAAAGAACCATTCCATCACTATCATTTTTCCAGAAGCTTATCATTTCTGCAATTTAAGCTTTTAAGCAGTGCGACTAAACAAAGCCAAAGGAACCATTCCAGAACACTGAGGTTTCACAGCTTCAGTGCTTTTATAGCACTTTTAGAAATATCAGAGCCAACACGTGCTGTCCAGCTTTGTTAGCTGCACAGAATAATTGTTGCTTCTGACAACAAAGAAACCGTTTTTTTTTAAATACTTTTTTTATGGAGTAAAAAAATTATTACTCACTCAGAGAGTTCACAGGACTTCTATAATCCAGTTGACAGAAATGAAATGATTTATTATCTGGATAAATGTACAGTTTCTTGCAAAAGTTTAGAATCAGTTAAGTATTTTTTAAGTAAATCCATAATTTATTGAAAATGACATACACAAATGACATACACAAAACTAAAATTTAATTTATGTTATATTCATACACATGTGTAGTATTTTTTAGGTAAATCCATAGTTTATTGAAAATGACTAAAATCAAGCATAATTCACTGAGTTTTTTATCGTTTTCTAAATCTTCTCACCTAGTGAATCTACTAAATCTTCTCATCGGTTTTCTACTGAAGAGCAATTCTTTCTGCACTTTTCCATCTGTACCATAATCTCAAAAACAGCTTGTGAATCATATGAGCTTAAGAATGGTTGTGGACTGTACACCTTGTTATTACCACAAAAAAGTTTGTCAAAATGCTTTTTGAGCGAAATATTTTTAATTTAGAAGGTTTTGATGCTTTATATAAGTTCACCAACATGATGATGGCATGCAGACTAATTTTTTACTACAAAGCCACACGTTCTGCACTGTCATGTCCTGTATTTCAGAGCCTCTGTTTCACTTTGAGTGTTTGAACATGCTTTACAAACTCTAGAGATTAATCATTCTTCAAGACTTTCGCATCTTTCAAACACAGTGCAAATGTCAAACTGATTTCTTTTAATATTTGTTTCGACCTGTTAAGTGCTAACAATGATAAACAACCAATTAGAGACAGTTCACATAGTTATGCGCTCTTCTGAGTTAATGCAACTATTTTTCACAGGCTTTTTTTTTATATTTTGAATTTCTGAGAGTATATATAATATATGTATGTATACGCAGTGGCGTAGGCAGGTTTTTAAATGTTTGAATTAACCAACTTTTAAACAAAAAGAACATTCCAAATTATTTTACGTTCATATGTATGACGGAAAGATTCTTCAAAAAAAATTATTGTGGAAGGAGAATGGGAGCAAGGAACCCTAAAATCTTACTCCCCCTGCCCCAAATGTGAGAGCAACAAGTTAATGAAATTTTTTTGTTCTATTTTCAACCAGATTTATATTCATCGATAAATTTTAAATTTCATAGTAAAATTTTTAGTGTTCAAAAATTATGACCATATAAAATTTGCAACCCCCTCATGTTGAGGGGAATTTAAACTTTATATGGTCATATTTTTTGAACGCTAAAATATTTTTCTATGAAATTTAAAACTTGTCGATGAATATAAGTCTAGTTGAAAGTAGTACAAAAAATATTTTATCAACTTGTTGCTCTCACGTTTGGGGCTTGGGAGAGTAAAATTTTAGGGTTTCTTGTTCCCATTCTCCTATCACTGTAATTTTTTTTATGAAGAATCTTTTTATCATACATATAAAATAACATTTTAGATTTAATATTAGCAAATGCATTTATTTCAGTAACTGACATTTTTGAATGTTCTCTATTGACATTGCTCTCGTTAAAAATAGTTAACAAATATAAAGTTTCAACCATAAAAAGAAGTTTAATTTTATTATAATGTTATAGTTATATTAATTCATTATAATACAAATTGATATTTCTAAACATTTAATTAATATTTATTCTTATTTAAGTTATTTAGAAAACATTAATTAACGTCGAACTTAAACATTTCGTATAAATCATTCTCTAACTAAATAATAAATGAATTACATAATAAGATTCTAGTTTCACGATTATCTGTTGCTCAATTCAGTAATTTGAGAAATGATGCTAACTTTTATAATTGTGTATGTTTATACTAGTGCATTTTAATTGTGTATGTTTATAGCAGGACATTACCATAAAATCATAGTTAAAGGGTCCAGTTTGTTATAGATCAAATATGTGACATTTAAATATTACAAACTAGACTGAAAATTTTAGAAATCTGTAAAAAAAATTTTACCTAACGTTTTAAATCTGTAAATTTAATTATTTTTAACGTTCAAAAGTTAAAACAAGTAACACATTGTTTATAAATGACTTATTACTTATAAACTATGTTACATATAACTAACGCCCCTCCTCCCTACAAAAAAGAAAAAAGAAAAAGTTAACTTTGTAAACTGTACAAGGACGCTATTTTTAAGCGATAAAAATTTATTGGTAATATTAAAAAAGTTTTGATAAATATAAAGTGATAACTTTGAAGTGCTAGAGTTTATTATTATTATTATTATTTTAAAATCATCTACATTTAGAGCACCGAAACTTTTTAGTTAATATTGTTCCTATACTTTTTTTATTTGACACCAGCACAAATTAAAATCAGTTTTTTTGAACGTTGCACAGTGAGGCAGAATACCTTTAAAACTGGACAAAAGTTTTTTTTTTTTTTTTTTTTTTTTTGATGTTTTGGATTTTTATATTAAGTAATTATTTTAAGGGCACTTAATAGACTTAAGAAAAATTATTTCAAAGATTTTTAAAGGTTAATTACAATTGTCAGACGTTTTTAATGTATTTTCGAGTAATTTTGAGTAAAGTTCTATAAAAAAATCGGTAAGTGATGACTGAAAAAAGAAAAAATCAAAAGCTTGCATGAATAAATAATATTAAAACGTATTCTAATCTATTCACTAAAATAAATTACAGTAATTAGAATTTAATGTGAAAAGTTACTCAAAAAAAGATACTCGAAAACTCGATTAATTTTATTCGTTTAAATTTGCTAAAAACAAATCTCACAAACGGGCTCAATAAGTGCAACAATAAAAAAAAAATGTTTTACAATCTATGATCAACAATTTCATAAAAAAAATTTGAAACTGTATTTAAGTGAGGACATCAACTTGTTTCTCCGCGCAGCGGCCTTGTTCGTCAAAATTCGTGTTTCAGAGTTATAGAGTAGAGTTGAGAGAGGGTTATAACCACTATTAAGTAGCCTTCTCGTCTGTAGTGGCCTTCTTGGCCTTGAGGAGGTGAATAACAAAAAAAAAAAAAAAAAAAAAAAAAAAAAGTGCATTATTTGAAAAAATTAGACAAAAATAAAATATTTTAAACGCACCTTTTTTAAAGACCTAATAATATATATTTTAAGCACTTTAAAATTATTTTTTCATTAGCAAAAGATAGCTGCAAACATAAAATTGAAGAATCCCTGAAAAAAAAATTGGAATTTCAAACAAACTTCAGTTTTAACGCTATAAAAGCAAAGTAATACTAATAAATCGCGCGAGCGAATTATTTTTTAAACAAAAGAATCGAGCTAGATTATTGGTTCTACAGAGTTAAAGGTGAATCCTACCCTAAAAAAAAACACGTGGATAAGATGGACCAGAGATTCTTTTATACATTATAACACCTTTTTTCATTTCCGTCAAATATCCATTTTTGAAGCTGTTCTGCCCCACTGTGCGTCGACAGAATGTTTTCAAAATATTCTTTGTTGCTATTCGTGGTTTAAAAATAAAATCTGTTTCCGGTGGGGTAGTTTTTTTAGGAAGTTAATTTCACTTTTGCATGATTAATGTGAAATATAATTTACTTGTGTAAAACTATTATTGATTTTTGTATATATTTACTTATACTTTTTAATTTTAGGTAAAAGAACCAGAGAACAAAGGAAGTGAACCAGTTATTAAAAAAATAGATATAGGACCATTTGTATTAATTACTGGTGACCAACACGTTATTGACAACTGCGCTAAAATTGTTTTTCCACTTTTGTTCTTATTTGTAAATGCCGTATATTTTGCATACCACCGCATCCATCCTGAAACTGTTAACAAATAAATAGTGGATTTATGGTAAAATAGTAAAAGAACATGCTTTTAGTTAAGTTGTCACCATTTCAGTTCTAACGATTGATGTCAATAAAAAGAGAAACTTCAGTAATTATAAATAAATTAATTCTAAAAACTGATTATTATCTATTATTACTATTATTATTATTATTATTATTATTATTATTATTATTATTATTATTATTATTATTATTATTATTGCTATTATTATTGCTATTATTATTATTATTATTATTATTATTATTATTATTATTATTATTATTATTGTTATTATTATGTACATATAATGTTTATATATAAGGCCATTTTAGAATTTGAAATGAAAAAAAAAAAATTTTAATTAAAATACGCAAGTTTATAAGGAAATAACGCATGTTATATAAGCGAATATAAAAAAAAAAAACATAAAAAAATTTAAACTTAAGAGTCATTTTTTGTAAGAATCAGGCAGTCATTGGAAGTGACCTCCTCCAAATTGCTTGGATTTTTTATATATAGATCAGAATATAGAGAAAACCTGTTAGGGAAAAAAAAAAATTTCAAAAATGTTTCGTTCACTCGGAATCTGGGCTTAAATTTTTGAGATTTTTTTAAAAATTTTTAGAAATTTAGTTTTTGCCACCTTTGAACCCATTTTTTTGGCAAGGCAAAAAGTTGCACATAGCTTTTGTAGTTAATATCAGACGTAACCCAAAAGCTCTCTCCAAAAAATATAAAAAAGTTGCGTGACACTGTGCGGTTGGCTAATTATCATAGTTCAAAAGTACAAAATCAATCAGTTTTGTCATTTTTTAATCGGAGTTAATTCTAGCGGCAAAGTGTTGCACACAATTTTTCTTTTAGGATTTGAAATTATCAAAGGTATTGAGTCTAAATATGCAAAAAAAGTTATGTGATACCTAAGGCCTATTAATATATTAAGGCTTGAAATTGGAAAAAAATGTTATAGTATACTTACAAAATGAGCTATTACGGCAGAGGCGCTAAGTTTTGTAAAAATATAATCGTGTTAAATGGTCAATATAAGATGACCCTAACATAGTTTAAAAAAAACTCATGTGATCTTTAGATATTAAGTTAAAAATAAAGGTACAAGTTGTTAAAAATGATTAAGTACGAAAAGATATTTTTTTGGACACACAGATGAGGTTTTCGCTCACAATAAAATTTCAATCATCCAAAATTAGCAATTAGCATTACACAAAACATTGCACCTAATGTTAAGAAAAAATTTAAGCGTTTCTGACTATGATATAGAAATCATAACAATTATAATAAAAAACAATACATGATCAGAAGTGAATTATTTAAATTTACGTCATAACCAAATAACTTGTGGTGATCGAATGGAAGAAGAATCGCTGATATCACGATTGTGGAGAAACAAGTTAGTGGGCGGTTGTTTACTTTACCATAAAAATGTCTTAACTTTATTTTAACGATCTTTAAAATTTGCATAAATAGAGTAGATATTTCAAAAGGAAATTGTGGATCATTCAAAAAACATAAAATTATAAACAAAATGTTCTACATTCATCAGCTGGGAGATGTTGATGTTAAGAAACACCTCATCAATTTAAAGGTAATTATGTATTTTAAATTTACGCAGACTGTAATATAATTTTTATAATTACATACTTTATAACTTCTCTGCAATAAGATTTTGAGACAAAGTTCTTTAAACAAAAAAAAAATAGCTCTTTTTCATTAATTCCTCACTCTTTTAATAAATAATCACTAAATTAATCACACTCTTGCAATATTGTAAGATATTGCAATATATATTTTAATAATAACAACAATGTATTTCAAACTAGTAAACATTTTTTGTGAAGAGTCAGAATATAAACAATGCTTTAAATGACACACTTAATAATTGTTTAAAAAATTGTTTTTAGGTCATGCGATTAAACGATAATAATATTTGGGAAGAAAATGGACTTATTGCAAATAGACTTAAAAGAAATCTTGAAAAGGATGAACAAATATGTGCTTTTCACCGGTACACGTTTGGTATTGCATGGAGTCCTCCAAAAACATACTTTCATCCTCACCATCTAAATATAAAAGGAAAAAAAATCTCCTGCTTTAAGGGCGTCACCAATAACTGTCGTCATATCAATGTCAAAGCGATACAATGAAGTATTTTCAGTTGGTGCAATGCTGTGTTTTACCCATTTAAAGCAAGAAACTGCTTTATCTAGAGTCAACGAAAACACCAATTTATGTACAGAAACACAAACACAACAAGAACATTATGTACAGAAACACAAACACAACAAGAACAAACATATATGACACCTGCTACTCCAGATGAAGAATTTGATCCCGGTAAAATTAATTTTTCACAGGAGATTTTGGACGAATTTCTAAAAAGCCGTGAGAGTGTAACTGAGATTCTTAATGCAAGTCCAATAAAATTTAGATTAAAAAGGAAGTTCGAATATCTGGAAGATACTACTAAAGATAAGTTAAAACGCAAGAAAACTTATTAAAGAAAAAATTTGCGGAAGCTGTTGCTCCTGGACAAGAGGAAATACTTATAGATTTTCTTAACAGTAAAAATGTTGATAAAATAAATAGCCCTCTCCCAATTGAAATTATTCGTGCTCAGAAAGTATATAAGCAAAGTGATTTCATAGGAAAGTTAGTTATCCTCTCATTATTAGACCATACCAAGTATACCAAAAAGTTTATAATGAACACGTTTGAGTGTACCAAACATCGTATAGAAACAGCAAGAAAATGGCATGCATCTTATAAAGGGTTGGCATTTCCAGAGAAGAAAGTATTCGTCCGATCTAGTCTTGATCAAACAAAGTGTGAACATTTCTTAGACTTTATATTTACAAGCGGTATTTTGCATGATGTTGCTTATGGAATAACCAAATTAAAATACGACAGCGGTGAAGAATAAAAGTGCATGCAATACTGACGACAAAATATAGCCACGCTATCATGTTCTATCGAAAAAGTTGTAGTGAAAACAATTATATACCATTATCTGATTCAAGTTTCTGGAAAGTATTGCATGCAATAAAACCTTCAAGTCGAAAAAGCTTAGCTGGATTAGATGATGTTACTGCTTCAGGCATGAATGGTTTTCAAACATTACAAAAATTGGCACAAAGATTTAGTTCTAAATCTTTCGAAGCTGCCCTTGAAAAAGGAAAAAGGTATTTGAAAACAAGTTATCAAACCAATTGTAGTGTCAATGACTCAAACATTTCTTCTCATAGCTCAAAACATGCCTTATCAGATCCATCTGAAAAAAATCTTCAATCCAACACAGAGATATCAGAAGTGGTATGTGCCGATTGCTATGGTTTGTGCAAAGCTATCGAGATGATCAAAGAACTAACAATTCAAAATTCTGACGATGCTGATTCTATTTATGATTTGGAAATTGCTGTAAAGGATTTATTCAACTACATAAAACACCTGATGAGAGATTCTCAACAGAAAAAGACAAAAATCAAAGCTTTTAAGCAATTAAACGATGAAACTGCTTTCTGGCTTAAAGATTTTTGTCAAAAAATTCTTCCGGTTCGATACAGAGAGGGCCAAAGAGAGTATTTTGGCAAGAAAGGAATGAGTTTACATGTGGATATATTCTTCATAAAAATAGCAGGAAAGTTATTCAAACGTGTTTACTTTACTTCAATGTATAGGTGTGATCAGGGAATAGGTGATGTTGTTTCGTTAGCCACTGCAGTTTTAGATCAATTCAGAATTGATTAACCGCATATCAAGAAAATGTTTACCAAATCTGATAATGCCGGCTGCTATTAGGGAAATCTTTCAGCTAAAGCAATCTACAATGTATGCAAAGAGAGAGATATAAAGTTGCTGAGATATGATTATAATGAACCCTGTTGTGGAAAAGATCAATGTGACAGGGAGAGTGCAGTTGTAAAGACAATTTTAAGGAGTTACGTTGACTCTGGTAATAATCTTTTGACTGCTGAAGATATACACAAGGCTATGCATTATAGTTTTGGCGCTAAAGATGCAAAAGTAGCAGTTGCTCAAATTAGCAATGATAAAACTGTAGTTACTGGACCAAAGATTAAGAACATTAGCAACTATCACTCATTTGAGTTTGGTGAGAAAAGTATGAAGATGTGTTATTTCAATATCGGTGAGGGAATTGAACAAGAGTATGGAAATCTTAAAATTCAACCCTCGATGAAGTTGTTGTTGCCATATAGCAAAACAGATAATTCAGTTAAGCGTAACAAGTCACTTAAGGAAAAACAGAAAAGAAGTGACAGGCAATTATATTCATTAAGATTTTGCACTGAAATGAATTGTACTTTATCATTTGAAAGCGATGCTGAGTTAGAAGAACACATGCTATCCGGTCTTCATACAGTTCCGAAATCATTAACATCATTGGATAAAGTTCGCAACTCGTTTGTTCATAAGATGAAAATTACTTCACAACTTAATATGCCAATTTCTTCATCCTCTAACAGTGCTGCCGTAAAAGACAAACCACATTGCATGAACATTTTACTATTGCAAGGTTGGGCATTACCAGTTCGAAGTTCTTTCAGATTTTCAAATCAGCAGAAAGAACTGTTGTATAAATACTTTATTCGTGGAGAAGAATAAGGTAATAAAATGAGCCCTGAGCAGGTTCACATGCAGCTGAGGAGAGAACTTCCGCCTGATCAATATGTAACTAGCCAACAGATAAGATCTTTATTTTCAACGTAGGCATTGTTGCTATCAAAACTTTTGCAAATTAGATTATGTTTCTGACTGTTAAATAGTTCTTTTACAAATATGAAATTAAAATTTAGGTGAAAGTTATAATTTTGTGTGTTTGTTTACATATGTTTAAAAATATGTACAATTGATATTGTTATAGATTTAGTAACCTTAAAAAAGAAAAGGTAAGCTGGTAGAACCGACAACAAAAAATAATGAAAATAGTCAGGTTAACGATAACAAAGAAGTTTATGGCGAAAATGATGACTTTAATCTGACAGGAGACAATGAAGATGATAATAAATATAAGGAAGACATCGCCAATCTTGCAAAAGAAATTCGTCTTGTATGGAAAGTGAATGATTGGGTTGCTGTTGCATATGAAAAACAATGGAATATTGGA